ACCAGAGCAAGTTGTAGTAAATGTCTTAAGAAATGTCGTAGTTAGCATGTAGATTAAGTTAGGAATGGGAGGTGATCCCATTAACTTAATCTGGGGGCAATTGGGCCCTTGACAGACCCAAATTGGGTCGAATGGATCAACCCATTCGGACCAGAATTCCTGTCAGGCGGTGGCACCGCCCAGGAGGCAGTCTCCGAGCGAGACTGGGCGGTGCAACCGCCCCTGACAGGCGATGGAACCGCCTGAGCTTGGTCTTCGAGCTCTGCCAGGCGGTGCAACCGCCCCTGTCAGGCGATGGCACCACCCAGAGGCTCGGTCTCCGAGTTGCCAGGCGGTTGTACCGCCCCAATCAGGAGGTAGTACCGCCAGGACACCGGAAATCCGGGAAAAGACATTTTTGAGCTCCAAATTCAAACTAGTTTGGGGCCTATATATACCCCACCCTTTCCTGCATGAAAGGACACCGAAAGCTTGATCTTACTCTGTGATTTTAGAGCTCAAAAGTGTTGTAAAGTCTAGAAGTTCTCCTCCATCTTTTCTTCCAAGTTTTGATCTTTCAAGAGAGGAGAGAAAAGTTTGTAAGGGTTGTCTCCTAAGCCCGTCAAAAGGAGTGAAACAGTAAAATGGTGGTTGGCCTTCGCCTATTGAATGAAGGCCTCTAGTGGACGTCGGTGACCTCGTTGGTGGAGGAAACCAAAAGTGGATGTAGGTCAAGACTGACCGAACCACTCTAAATCTCGGTTTGCATTTACTTTGAGCATCTTATCATTACTGCAAACCTCCTCAGTAGCTTACTGCCTTCTGCTCATTTACGAACGTGTTTCTTAGTTAAGTATTTTCCAAATCGGCATTAAGACGAAAATCGGTTTTATCGTACGAACATCATATTTCAGTTTGCGCTTACATTCTGATTTCTATCTTAACTGCAAACTGCCTTCCTTACTTTACTTCAAATACGTTTCCGTAAGCTTTCAAAGTTATTATCTGCACGAAACGACTTTTACGTCGGAATCGAATTTCAACGTACGAACGCAGTTTTAATCGTCGAAAGTTTTCAGCTGCACTAATTCACCCACCACCCCCCCCACCCCCTTAGTGCTCTTGATCCTAACAATTGGTATCAGAGCGGGGTTAACTCTCAAACGGATTAAAACCCAAGAGAGATGGCATACGCCGGAAACCAAGAGGGCCACTCTATTACACGTCCACCCATGTTCAATGGGACGGACTACACCTATTGGAAGACCCGAATGAGAATCTTCCTTATTTCAATGGATTTTGAAATTTGGAATCTTGTCGAAAATGGATTTTCAAAGTCTTGAGTTCAATCGTGTTTCGGTTTGTGAAACCGCGTTTGATATTTGGCATACACTCGAAGTGACTCACGAAGGCACAAGTAGAGTAAAAGAGTCAAAAATCAATCTTTTGATACATTCTTTTGAACTTTTCCGAATGAAACCAAGCGAGACTATTGGCGACATGTACACCTGTTTCACGGATGTCGTCAATGGTCTAAAAGGACTCGGCAAAAGTTTTTCGGATTTTGAGCTCGTAAATAAGATTATAAGATCCCTTCCTAAGAGTTGGGACCCTAAAGTCACTATTATTCAAGAGGCTAAAGATTTAAACAACTTCCCTCTTGAAGAACTAATCGGGTCATTAATGACCTATGAAATGACTTGCAAGGCTCATGAAGAGCAAGAAGACATCCTTCCAAAGAACAGGAAGGATATAGCACTTAGAACTTTAGATGACCACTTGAGAGAAAACTCAAGTGATGAGGACTGTGACGATGACTTGGCACTCCTAACAAGGAAATTCAAAAAATTAATTAAGAGAAACAAGTTTAAAAATGGCACATAAAATAAACTTGAACCCAAAAAGGCCCAAGTTATTTGCTACGAGTGCAAAAAGCCGGGACACTACAAAAGTGATTGTCCCCAAGCCAAGAAGAGAACATCAAAAAAGAAGGCGCTCAAAGCAACATGAGATGACTCAAGCGCATCCGAAGAAGAGGAGTCCAACACCGAGCAAGTTGCTCATTACGCCTTAATGGCCATCGGAGAGGAGGTAACAAATTTAATTGATGCAGATTTATCATTTGATGAATTATTAAATGCCTTCTATGACTTATTTGATGAATGTAAAACAATTAGTAAAAAATATAAATTGCTAAAAAATAAGCATGATAGTCTTGTTAGCAATTTTGATAAATTAAAAACTGAATATCATGATAGTTTAGCTCAATATGAAAAATATCATGATTTAGAAACTCTCCAAAAGGAGAACTTGCTACTTAAGGACGCCTTGAAGAAATTCGAGGTTGGTAGCAAGTCTTTGAACATGATCCTTACAAATAAGGGTCACGTTCCCAAAAGAAGTGGAATCGGATTTGTGAGAAGTCCTCACCAAAATCCAACCACCTTCATAAAAGGCCCTATCTTACATGTTCGGCACCAAAACAAATGCAACTTTTGTTGCAAACATGGACATAAAACGTATCATTGTCCATTCAAGAAAATTAGTCCGAACAAACTGATTTGGGTTTGCTAAAGGAATCATGATAAACTCTATGCAACATGATAAACAATTTAGATCAGTTTTTTAGGTACCCAAAAGTAAATGGGTACCTAAAAATCACCCTTTCTCGTAGAAACATACACCATCAAAAGCTAGAAGCAAGAGATAATATCTTGCTTTTTAGGTACTCGATATTCATGACTCGAGATCCAAAAGAACACGTAATGCTCTCTAGCCGAAATAGTAAAAAGAGGATTAGAAAATTAATATTGCAGAGTGATACTAATACAATCCTGTTTAATCCCTCATATTTTAAAACTCATAATTCTCCCTTCACATACCCTCCGGATTTCTGAACTCATCGAATTGATTTCTTCTTTACCTTCGGATTCAACTATATCATGAACTTACGTCTTGCAAACAAAGTTTGTCATAAACTTGCGAAGCTTACCAACTTGGATAATAAGTCATGAACATGTCTAAAATTGTGTACGACATTTAAAGTAGAATATGCGCGTCACAAGATCTATCTTGAACGTATAAAATTTCAAATCTTGAAATGAGAACTCTTACGTAATTACGAAAGTAAAGTTGATTGCTCCACAAATGAAAACTCTCCTCAAGTTGAAAACATCCAAATCAGCCTATACAGCCCCCAAACAAGTGCTCACCGCTTGTAGGCGGTGGCACCGCCCAGCTGGCGGTAGCACTACCGGCTGTCACGGGTTGCAAGCGGTTGCACCGCCCCAGCCAGCGGTGCAACCGCCCACAATCTTGCCCCCTTTTAAACCGAGCTAGGGCCGGCGGTGGAACCGACCCCAACTCACTCCCTTCCCCTCTTTACACCACAAAGCTTCTCCACCTTCATTTCTCCCATCTTAGCATCCCAAATACTCCTCATTTCGAAGCAAAAGATCAGCAATCTCTCCTTCTCTTAAGGATCTCACTTAAGGTGTTCTTTAAGAAGCCTTTAAATTCTGTTTTTGAGTCATTTACTCTTGCTCATTACTATCTTCTTAAATAGCAGTAGTTATGGACTCTAGAAGATCCTCTAGGGACAAAGGGAAGAGGAGATTAGAAGAAGACTTTGATCTTACCCTTTTCGATTCAAAATATCATGCTGAAAAATTTTCTTCCTTCGAATTTAGAAGTGTCAATAAGGGAAAACATGTAGATCTAGATGAACTAAGAGACTTAGAGACAATCCAATGGTTTGCAAACTTAGATCTACTCCCAATTTTACAAATTAGTGAACCCATCTATCCAAGACTTGTTAGATTGTTTTACAACAATCTACAAGTAGATGAAGAAGAAAGAGTGTCTACCTATCTCTTAGGACAACACATCTCCATTACGGATAGATTCATTTGCGACATGATAGGAATTCCCGTAAAAAATAAAGGTCTTTATTTTAGAGGATCGTGGGATAATGAAACAGTTGGGACAACATTTGTTGAAGCCTTAGGAACAATTTTCGGTAATCCCAACTTAGTGATAGTTCCTAAAAGCTGTGAACATCTACTACCACTAAACACTAAGGTACTTCATCATATCATAACTAGCATC